TCATTCTTTCACATTTGCAATTACACTGCATGTTCTCATACTATTAAGTCACTCTAAATTATTTTTTATGTAAACCCTAAAATTGCGTGAAGTTATTCGTGTACTACCAAAAAAAAAATAGTTTTAGTTAGGAAAACATGTTATTAGAAAACCGAACTAAAATCAAAGGATTTTCAAAAATGCAAATATAAAGCTTTTGGTTTAGGTAGTTTTTTTTATCAGTTAAGATTCCGTTCATTGATTATAAAATTATTATGCAATGATAAATATATTAATGTGCTAACATTTATTTGATTGCCGCCTAAATATGTCGGTATGTTCCTGATAAGCAACTTCAGATCGCATTAGTAAACTTTCATGTCGACATAATATGAATATTTTACAAGCGTTTGTAAATAAGCTAGCCTAAGCCGAAAAGCCGTGTTCCACATATTTTCAAAAATATTTATATTAGGTAATCCCAAAACAAAGAAAATGTGAAAAAATACGATTCTAAATATGGATAAAACAAGATTGGATTATCTTAAGTGGTTGGCCAGAAGGAACGAAAATCGTGCGTTTAACTAAACCAAAACAACTTCAAAATTTCAAGTTGTTTATATAATTAATTACACGGACACAGGTACTTGAAGCGACGTTCAAAAATATATATAAGTAGATCAATTCGATTAGCACTTAGTACCAATAATTTAATAAGTGAAACATGAAGTACGGAGTCGCTCTTTTGTCGGTTGCAATCAGCCTTTGTAAGTATTGCACTTTTTTTTATCTAGAATCTGAAAAATTAAATATCCACCAAAATTTCTTTTGTCAGTTTCTATAACTTTATTTAATGTTTAAAATTCAACAACCAAGCAATACTTTAGCAAAATATGGTTACAGGATACCCGTATATTAGATATTAGAGATCTAATAAGCCCTGCGGCATAATTTCGTGGGGAAACCAGTAAATATTTTTTAAACAATTTTCTTTTCTGGCGCTTTAAGCGGGCAACATTTTCAAGCTGGCTTATGCATCCTATACAACCTTATTGCACCCTACCTTCGGTTTCCTTTAGGATTTAAAAGTGCCGTATGTTCTTCTAAAAACATATTTTTCTTGAGCAACCCCTTTATATATGAATAAGTTGAAATATGGAAAAAATACCTAGTTAACGGCTATTTGTGTGTAGGCGCTGCAGGAATTGTGGAACGTCAGCCCGAAATCCAGTTTGTGGAAAATGGTTTCAGTGGAGAGTGCACAACATCCAGATACTGGGACTGTTGTAAACCCACTTGTTCATGGGTAGGAAACACCGATACGAGCATTGGTATGTAGATACTTTAACTTGCGTTTACGCAAAAGCAAGCGACTCTAAAAAAATTATCGAATATAATTGCGTCTTTTACTATTCTCGCTTAATTCAATTATAAACAAAACTCTTCAGAAGTAGTTCAAGTTAACAATGAGTCATTAAACCGGCTGATAATACTTCAGGTGAATTACTCGCCTGGAATAAAAAGGCAAATGCTCGAAAAAACTGAGAAGGTCGAACGTATTTTTAGGCCCAGTAAAGTCTTGCGCCATCGATGGCTCCAGCGACATTGATGGAAACGTCCAATCTGGATGCGAAGACAATGGAAACGCATACATGTGCAGCGCTCAACAGGGTGTCATCGTCAACAGCACTTTGGCCTACGGGTAAGTGTTACATCCCCTATTTAAGCACTCGAACAAAGTATCGCCTCTTCAGATTCGCAGCTGTTGCCTTTATCAGCCCACCAGAGAACATGTGTTGTACCTGTATGTTAGTTGAATTCAATGGAGGCGGCTGGGGAGACTGTGGTGAGGGCAAGACCATGATTGTCCAAATTACCAACACTGGAGGTACCAGCAGTGCCAACAGTACCGAGAACAACATTGAAATTGCCATTCCCGGAGGTGAGTTGAAAGGAAATGCGCTTTAGCATGAAAACATGTTGAGTTTCCTCTAGGTGGAGTTGGGTACTACACTCAAGGATGTAAGAAGCAATGGAACGCACCTGACCAGGGTTGGGGTGACCAGTACGGTGGAGTAGAAACTGAAGCTGCTTGCGACGACCTGCCCGCAGTATTGCAGCCTGGGTGCAAATTCAGGTGAGTTGATGCAAATGGAAGGTTGGAACCTATTTCGGGTAATTGTTACTTTTCTTTCTTCAGGTGGACGTTCTTGAACGGTTGCTCCAACCCCAACGCCAAGTTCACCCAAGTTGTTTGTCCACAAGAAATTGTCGACATCTCTGGATGTAAGATGGACTAGAAAGTGTTTCATATTTGGTTAGCAATTAAAGTTTTTTTAATCGAGCTGGTTTTTTCTGACTTTTTACAGAGCATTAATCAATATTATAATAGCCATGCAGGTTGGAGAGAAAATCCATATTATTTGTACCTGTACAAACATATGTTTCGGGTTGCCCGAGTTTGCTTTTGCAACCGATTTCCACAATCTTCAGTTGATGGCAATGTCTTATCACTAAAGAAGTTTTGCAATGCAAAAAAACATGATAATCGCTTGGCGCCAGGTCCGGACTATGTGGTGGGTGTATCAAAACTTTCCATCCCAACTCCTAAAATACAACACGTCTCCTGTGGGTCAATTCTGACCGTTTCTGGTCAACCTTCCAGCAAACACACCTCGGTCCCTGAGATGTCCCACGGACGGCATTACAGGACATCTACGCGGAACGTCCATGGGACACACTTTTGGGACTGTTCGGGTCATGTATGGGATGATCCCGTAAAGGTCATTTGGGACATCACTGGGATTATAGACGGGTTGTTTCGAGGACATCTGTGAAACGTTCTTAGGTTAATAGTCAACCGTCAAATTATTGCTAGATTTTCTTTCTTAGAAATTTCATAAGGCATTGGAAGCCAAATATGGGACCAAGAAAATAGGCGATTGGTAAAAAGGAAAACTAAAAGAAAACAGTCCCTTCTGTAATCGATTTTTTCAATCTTTAAAAAACGGTGCATTTCTGTGATCGATTTTTACAATTTTTCCTTGATTCCAATGCCTTATAGCTAAATAAGTTTTGCAATGCAAGAAAAAACTGGAAATCGCTTGGCGCCAGGTCTGGAGCATATGGAAGATGTATCAAAACTTTCCAACCGAGCCTCTAAAATACAACTCGCCTGTTAGTATAATCAAAATTCAGTTGGATTTTTTAGTTTAATTTATAAAATTGGAAAACCGACAAATGGAAACTAAATACTTGATCATTTGATGACGAAAACTGCTGATAAACTAATATTGTTAGGAACACCAGATCGAAGTTTTCCACGGAATTTTCACAGTCGAATGTTTGTGAACGACATTGGAAGCACCAGACATAAAAACAAATAAATTATTAATACGTTTAAGTATAAATCAGCATTGCGCGAAAAATATTTCTTTTAAAATCAAATTAATCAAGTACACAGATTGATGAGTCTCAACGGAAAACCTACTTTGAACAATTTTGTCCAAATTTAATGGGAAGCCAAAACAAAGGGATGAAGAAGATGGAAAAAATGACGACCTTCCCGAGAGACCAAACGGAATAACGATAGAACATAATGGATCGAAAAAAAAAGGAATGTAACAGGAAACATAACAGCTACTAAAATACGGAGAACAATTAACGACAAAATTAATAAAGCTTTTTACCAGAAAATATTCATCCAAAAATTAACGTGAAAAATGCATCACCGTCACCATATAAAAAAAGGTGCAAGAAATCTCCAGAAAATTATAAAGCTCGAACTGTTTTTAGTGAACTCGACGTTTAAAACTGTTGTCAAAATGTTTTGTTTCAATGGAATCGGCGAAACCAAAATTGCGCCTAATTAGCCGTTATGGTATCGGGATCATAAACACATCCACCATTTCAGCCCTGAAATTTTGGCATTACTAAAAAATAAAGCTGTAAACTGTGACGAATTTTCCTTTTGGTCACTTCCATTTCTAACACCTTTTAACTCATAACCAAATGGACCAAACAAAAAACGACGAAAACATTTTTGTATAGCAACATTTCGCGTTACTAATATTTTTCTAACCAGAATAATTCTGAAATTGTTTGATGGCCAATTTAGGAAAAACCATTTATATTACAGCCATCCACCGTAAAAAAAATGGGATTTAATCCCCACTGTTGTGTAATAAAACACGAACCAAATCAAAAGTTTGCAATATATTCACCAAGTATAATAGTTAATTTACTCATGTCTAATTACGCGGCGATAGTTAATTCAGCGTTCTATTTTAAATATCGAGTAATTTCCTTAAACAAAACACTTACCAAGAAAACCTAACAATACCAATCCAGAGACAGTTACGGTAACATATTCAAATGTATATGCACGTATTTACACAAAACTGACTTTTATGGACCTTAATAATTGATAAAGACGAACGAACCAATTTACTACGCATTACAAAAGTTAGGCAAGACTGAGAAATAGATAAAAATAGAGCATCGAAACCAAGTCCATGAAGAATCTGAGAGAAAATCAGATAGAGCTTCGCTAATGTTATACATTGTTTTAAGGAAATTTAAAAAGGCAGAGCCGAATTAATTCAATTGCAACTTTTGCATAAATAGAAATAAATAAATGCTTAAAATGAAACTGACTTTGGTAGGAAACATTTGAAATATTGAAGTTCATTTAAATGTGCAACGAATTCAACAAAATGTTTCAAGGAATGACAAATGCATAACTTTAGTTGGATATGTTAGATGCCACAATAAAAAGCAATATAATTAAACAAACGGAGTAGCTTAATACAATGCTGCAATTTCAAACTTAACAATCTAGAGTGTTTCTAAACATGGTCTAAGTGCAAAATGGGGAATTTTTAAAGCCTTCTATTAAAAACTCAAATATCCTATAAACAAGCATGTGAAGATTTAGTTAATGGTGGGTGATTAAAAAAAAATAACTTTCAGCTTCTCAATTTCTTTAAATATCAACCACAAGTTTCGATTGTGTAAAATCTTATTTCTTGAAGAATTTCTAAAATGTTCTCTCCATTCATGAGCCGACTTTTATTAAACGCATCGTAAAAAATCCAAATCCAAAGTGGAACTGTATAAAGAAACTTATTGGCCATTGGTGAAAAAAAACATGTAAAAAGTGGGGATATGGTTCTAATAATCACAATTTTTTTACATATTTACCAAATAACTTTAGCGAAGGAAAGCTGTTTCTGTATTACACTGTAATCCCGTAACTAAAGTAATTTATTTAAACTGCAATTAATAGAAAATCAATTTAAAAGTCCACACTTTCACATGAACGCCATATTTAGAAACACTGTAAAAGGAAATTGCAGCCCTATAAAATCCAGATCGACCGATCAGCAACAATTTACAATTCAATAAAGCCTTTTTTATTAGTCCTAAACAACCCAAACCAAACGAATTATTTATCTGTATGAGCTTCCGCTGCCTCTATGATAAGTGGATCGACCTCTTGAGTAGCCACCACGACCACCCCTTTGGTACTGCTGATTATGTTGGTTGTCTTGCACATATTGGTCAGCATAAGTCGTTTTGATAGCCTATAGTATGCATAAGATTTTAGATTAACGTAATAATCTAATAATTCTGTTCTTACTTGAAAGTTATCGTAAGTCTTTGGCCTTTTACTCTGTTGGAAATCCTGGCCCGCATAGCCGCCGCTATCACGACGATTATAGCTGTAATTATCGTGACCACCTCGGCTAGCGAAGTTATCATAACTAGTGTGACCACCGCGATTGTCATAATAGTTGTGACCTCCTCTGGTGCTTATTGGATTGTGCCCCCTACTTTCAAAAGAGCTGTTTCCTAATCGATAAGTTCAAGAATTTATCAAACTCATTTATTTCAAAAATAACAAACAATTACCTCCATAACGTCGTTGACTGTCAAAATCTCCTCTAGCTGAATAACCACCTCGACCTCGACCTGTAGAAGAATTGTTGAATCGGGTCATTTTGTTCATGGAGCCAGAAATAGCCATTTCAGTCTTGTAGCTTCACTTCTAGCGATCTTACCTTCACCTCTATACCCACTATTTCCGCGCGGTGGACCGCCCCGTCCACTACCTCCGCCTCTGGTGGGCGCCCCACCCACTGTAGAACGATTTTGCTGCCACGAAGGCATTTCTGGTGGCGGGGGGGCTTGTTCCCAGCTGCGGCCTCCCCTATCGGGTACCTTCAAAAATAGTTTCGCAATAACATTAAAAAACATAAATTGTCGCAAAAATACCTGTCCAATAATAACTTTATTCAACGGAGTCTTTGTGTTCTTCCGAACGGAGGCATTACTGGTTTTTTCAATTACAGCAATATCAGTTCTAGCGGCAATCAAGTCAGATATGTCTACGCCAGGTTGGGTATGCAGCAATTTCCTATTATCATGATATATTTTTTCAAATACTGCTTCTTTGCCTTGCGTTCTATTCGACCACTGAAACACAGTTCACATTTCGGTATTCAAGCGGCTCAAATGAGAAGAAAATTATACCTGAAAAGACTGAATGGTGACATCGAGCCTGGTCAGCATCATCTCCCTTCTAATTTTGTATTCATTATTTAAATCGCTTTGAACACCTTTCAAAATTCCCCATTGCTCATCAGATAGGAAACCATTGAAAATGCCTTTCCCTATCAGATCAGCACCAGCTTTCTTCAAAGCCAAGGGAATCGTGGTTACAAGCTTATCAAATAACTGTTTTACAGTAATATTCGGTGGTGGTTTAGGAAAACGTAAAGTCTGTAGTATTAGGCGCATATCAGCCCCTTCTGGTGTTTCTTGCTAAAACAAAACATGATATTAAAAAATTAAGAGTTAACTTTTTTTACAAATTTACCAGTTTCAGTTCTATTTTTTTATCAGGCTTTCGATCTTGCAGCATCCTGGCCCCCATTAACTCAGTAACCAAATAATCTACCAAAAGAACCTTTTCTGCATAGTTTTGAAGTCTCTCCGACACTAAGCCATGTGTTAAACATTTATAAGGACAATCTAAAACCAATTAAACGTAAATAAATAGGCTTCGAACGATCACCATCACGCAAAAAACATACTTAATTCCTTTAAAAATGATGTAACCTCCATCACAAAAGCCACCGAATCTTCAGGCGATGTTATCTCATTCACTTCTTCATCAATACTAAGCAGAATTCGAATTTCATTTGAGAGAAATTGAACTAGTTTGGTATACGATTTATCTTTTGGTCCAATTTCACATGCATCATGAAGATCAGAATATTTACAAAGAGGACCAGAATACCTAAAATCAATTAAGTATTAGTAATTAGGCGATTGAGCAGAATGCCTTGAAGGGTTTTCCGGATTAAGACATCCAATCAGCTAAATTGAATATTTATATTCAACTGACTTTTGGTTAAGCATAATTCTATGTTTAGTTAGCTTGATTTTTGCTTAAGCTTAATTTTATGTTTAGTTAACTTGATTCAATTTTTGGGCATAGAAAAAATCTTGCTGGATGGCGTCTTGTGCATACATTTTTCAGTAAAATGCTGATATAAAGATCCGCAGGAGATTTAACATAAAAACGTAATTTTTGCTGAAATTTCTTCAGAAAATATCAGGTTTGTCATCAATTTTTTTGAATTATTTAAAAACCTTGGCAGGGTATTTTAAATGTAATTTCCATTATCCTTTATTAAAAAAGTTCTAAATTTTACTGTTGAGAGATTCGGAGTTTCTAGTAAAGCCTAATTAGCAAACAATGCAATTTTAGCTGCTCTATCGGAAAAAATCGAATTCTTTTCGATTTGGAATTGGTCTGGTCTTTACGATTTCCGATATATCAATGAAAATTGTTAAAAATTCATCATATGTTGACTTTTGCAGCTTAGACATTTCGTTTTATTTCGAATGGTTTCTAAAAGCTCTCAAAATTCGCAATCGAAATGGATCTTAGAACGAGCAGATTTGGATCATTTCCGAAATATGTTTAAACTTTATATTTTGTCTTTAGAGCTTAAACATTTTTGCGACTAATAAGCGAACACTGACTCGCGAAAAACACACTTTCGAGATGAGCTGGCAAAGGTCCATATTACTAGTTCCATATGTCCAACTGTTTTGTCCAACTGTTTCTGCGATACACTTTTTTTAAATAGAGGTAATTCATTAGAATAAAACCTGACATAATGTGTGCTTATAAATCTTCGAATGCTAGAGTCCTAATGAAACTTAAGATTGGTCATTTAGACTTTTGAACAGTTTTTGGTCGCCTAAGGTCCATTTCGATTTTATACTACAACATAGCTAACAATAATCTTTCTAAATGGTCCATTGAAAGAAAAAATGCGAATTTTCAGCTGTCTAGAAAAACAGAATCAAAACAAATTGAACAATGTTCCTAAACTAAAACTCCTAATACGACTTGAATTTCCGAAAACGTGTGTCCATGAGCGACTTTTCGGCTCAATATCTTGAAAGCTGCCGTCAAGCAGTAAAAAAACGTTTCTATGCCAAATATATTAATTATAATAATTAGCAAAATCTATCCATATTCGGTTGCAGTTATTAGGCCTTCACAGGTAAACTTTTATTAACGTTATCATCAATTATTGTCCCCAAAAAACATCAGTTATTAATGCTGAGAAAGTAAAACTGACTAATTTCTGTAGTGTCTAGTGCACGTACGAGCAGATGCCTGTTTCAACATTATAACGTGATCATTTTAGAGTGATTTTTTCAATAAGACCTAGATATATATATGGATTATTCCAAGGAAGAACACATGCAGACTAAAAACCAGACATGCAATTAATAAATTTAAATATTGAAATAGATGAAAGCCTAGAGTACCTTGGGGGTTACACAAGGCATATCCTCACACACAAATATCACAAAATTATACAAGTAAAATTAGTATAAACCGAATATAACATCAAATAATAATTTTTTTTGTGGCCTGTTTCACTCACCCAATGTCTTCCAAGCCTTTTAAAATCTTGTCTTCTAACATGCTGATGGTTCCAAAACTTTGAGATGTGGAGTAAACAGAATAAACTAGAGGCTAGTTTGTATAAAGAAATATATTTGTGGAAGATGTGTTAAAAATGACTTATTTACTATTTTAGCCGCATTGACATTAATAAACAGAAGCCATTTGACTTTTCATGTCATTAACCTCATTCCTAAAGTTACAAAGTGAAAAAACGAGAATGCTATATTAGGAAATGACCAAGCCGGCAGCTGTGTAATTAAAAACCTTGATTACAAAAGACATTTTTATTTTAGTTTGTTTAAAATTTCATAATTCAAAAATTGGTGCAGAAAATGACCCCATACAATTTCGACTGGATTTGTAATTATAAAATATTATATTAAATCAAAATGCCTTGGAGCTGCGGCGATGCCGGATTGTCCAGTTAAATTTTTGAGATATTTCCTACGTCCTGGTAACAATCAGCTGGTTTGTTTGGTTGCATATATGAAAATTTTTAATTTTGACTTACAGATTCTAGTAAACTCGAAAATTCAGTGTTTTCCACTTTTTTCGAAGTTAATTTCGGTAAGTACCCATTATACCGTGTTGTTCGCTTAATTCTAACATCATTATAGGTGAGAGTTTTTGTAAAGAAATTGTTTATCGAAGAAAATCTCTTTATCATTCAACATGGCGCTATTGGATACATGTGAATTGCCACATAACATTTTTGCTTTTTTCTATTTAGTTTTGTAGGGTAGGAATAGATATGAACGATTTTTTTCTTGTAATTTTATCATTACTTTTGGCGGTGCTTGTTGTGGTACTCTTTGTGGCTTTTGGTAAGCGATATTTTCATATGTTCTAGGTTAAAACATTCAGAACTCCTTTGTTCTCTTTGCAGTAACTTTTGCATTAAATCTGCAATTTTTATATTGATTTTGTTAATTGTTTCTGTTTAATTCATACTCAGTTCACGATAAATCAAACGTTTTCTTGGTTCTTGGTTCATATGTTTGAAGTTATTGTAAAAACCATTTGTATTTTTTTGTAAATAGGTGGGTGTAACACTTTAAACGTGGTAGCGCCTCTATCTTTTGGAAATTTGCCAGTTAATTAAGCAGCAAACGTTACTACCCAATGAAATACCAAATAAATTTACTCAATAGAACCAAATTCTACTGTACTGTTATCCGCAAGGCAGCAAAATACTGTATACTATATGTACATTATATAATACGTATTACGTACAATATTTACCAAAGTTGGTCCAAATAAAATACTTGTTGAATTCTGAACATTTGATCTAACTGAAGCAGGGACGAACGAAATAAAAAAGTAGAAAATCCTTAAATATCATTAAAAGGTAAAAAATATCTTATATGGTTCTCAAGAGACAAAAGTTCGATATCATATGCCCAAAATTGTATCGTTATTTCAACATTGAGATTTTGTTAGTATGTTGAACTCGAATTTTCCTCCTCGCCCTAAGATATCAATAAACCCTCAGTTCATTTACTGTTTTATTTGGAGTATGTTTTTCTTACTACATTTTCCTTTGCTTCCAGGCTGGTATTTATTGTGGGTTCTGGTCTTGAGCAGGTTTAAATTTGTCAGAGACTTACTGAACAGTGCTAAGGACAGTAAAGATTCACCACCGCCGAGGCAATCTAAAACCAAGAAGACTAGAAAAGACTGATTTTAATTAATTAAGGTATATTAGGTAAGCGTGTTCATCTATGATGTAAATACTGGGAGGTATTTTAAAACTTGCGATAATAGTTGCATTTCCTTTTATGTCAACCGGTTTCTCCAATTTATTAATAGATTCATGTTATTTTTAAACATTAGCATTTTTGTTAATTAGTTCAAACTTCAGGGTTTCACCATTTATTCTTAAACGCGACCAATGTGTTTTCCGCATGTTTATTTCTAGTAATTCTCAGATAACTATAACCTTTGTCCCTAGTTCATAGAAGACAGTTAGAGCTCAAAATACGGAAAATTTTCCCCCAATCGCTTTAATCCCTGATGTTTGCCGACGTAGAAAAGTGGACATACAAATGGGGGTTTCCGTCCAAAAGCACTATGCTTAAAAAATCCCAACTTTCAATCTAGAGCAAGCACACCCTTGAAACTTTCACAGTCCATATAAGACCGTCACAGCTCAAAATACTGAAAATTTTGCCTCAATTGACTTAGGTCCATATGTATAAACGATGCTCAAGCCTGAGCCGAGCCTCAAGTACCAGACTTGGCGTTGACTGCGTTTTATAAACCTTTATCATGCTCAAGCCAGTGCTCAAGCTTAATAGAGCGTAATAGAGGAGAAAATTGAGAGCACGTGTTAGTTAGTAAAATATATAAGCGGACAATCCTGGACTACCAATATCACAATATCACCCATTACTCAATTGCTGGTATGTTTAAGATTATATGCAACAAGTAGTTTTCCATTCTATAAATTCTATAGCAAGTAGCAAATTTTCTATGATTTCATGTCTACTTTCTTACATAAAGTGTATATTATATTGTAGCTTGTGTCCGGTGATCTTCGTGATATAAGTCAGTTTTTCAGCGCTCCAAAATACATAATAACGTTGACGCCATCTTAGCTTCGCAAAGTTCGCCAACAGCCCCAATATAAAATTACTAAATAAATACGAAAGTCTCTAAAAACTTATACTCGACCGATATTTCGACGAGAATTCACGAAGTACTGTTTATAAATCGATCTCTTGGTCGAGCACGAGTTCGTACTTGGCGAAGCATGAGCTGATTATTGGCTGCAGTATCGTTTATAAATACATGCCTTAATCCCTGATTTTTGCCGACGTGGCAAACTTGGAATAAAAATGGAGGTTTTCGCCCAAAAGCACTCTTTGCTTGAAAAATCCAACTTTCAATCGAGAGCAAGCAGACAATTGAAAGTTTCTCAGTCCATTGAACACAGTTGCCGCTCAACACACTGAAAATATTGCCCAAATTGCCTTAACCTCTGATTTTTTCCACAGCAATAAGGATCTACTTACAATGAATATAAGGTGCGCTAAACCAGAAGATTTAATGAATATGCAGCACTGCAATTTATTGTGTTTGCCTGAAAACTATCAAATGAAGTACTACTTTTACCATGGATTAAGCTGGCCTCAACTCAGCTATGTTGCTGAGGATGAAAATGGTAAGCAGATTTAAGCACGTAAGCAAATAATATATTTTCCACGCTTTGGTGATTAAAGATCATTCTGCTGCATATATTGATTCATCAGAGAAACTTCAAAGCAAGCAAGTCATAGTTTATTTCGGTTTGTTTGATCGTTTTCCAAAGACTTTTCAGTTTGAATAATATTCATTTATCAGTCTCCTGATTTCTTTAGGCATTGTCATATAGAGCTATTATTTTAAAATTACTGTTTTCGTATTTTTATTTTTACTTGCTCGATTTCATTTGCAGCCTCTTCATAATGTGTACTTTTTTTAATTAAAACCGACCTAAACGAAATTAATCGCTTATTCTTTTTCATCAGTTTATTGAAATATTGAGGTATTATAGAGCGATAAAAGTACGCAAAATAACATTGTTTTAAAATTTCTTGAGAACATGGTCTACTTACCTTTAGTAACGTAGAAGGAAAGTCATGTGACGTTGTGTAAGCTATCAAGTTTTGTGGTAAGAGCGAATGACAGACCAATAAGATTAAGTTCTTTTGGGAATTGAATTGTAAAAAATAACATTTCCAGTGTTTTATTAAAGTATGTTTCCCCTTTTTCATTTAATAATTATAGCTAATGTGTTTTTTAATCTATAAAAAAACTTCAAATAAATATTATTATTATTATCAAGGGAAGATTGTCGGTTACGTGCTGGCAAAAATGGAAGAAGACCAGGAAGATTTGAAACATGGGCACATTACATCTTTAGCAGTGAAGAGATCGCATAGACGTTTGGGTTTAGCACAAAAGCTAATGGATCAAGCCTCAGAAGCGATGGTTGAATGTTTCGACGCCAAATACGTATCGTTACACGTGAGAAAAAGTAACAGGGCTGCCTTGAATCTCTACAAAAACTCCCTGAAGTTTGAAACTGTTGAGATTGAACCAAAATATTATGCAGACGGTGAGGATGCGTATTCGATGAGGCGAAACCTGTCACACTTTTCAAGAAAAAAGGACGATCAACAGAAAGCAGAGGAATAATGGGATAATTAAATTTTAAACAATTAATGCTCCGATCAATTACTAACTGATTGATTATTATGGAAATAAATATTGGCTTTCGATCCATTTGCGTTATTTTTTACCTGAAATCATCATCTGGGTTAGTTTGCCCGCTTATTTTAAAGCAAGCATAGGAAAATGAACTAAACTACTATTTTCAGCAAATTTTACTTTTATAAACCTTTTTATAAATTATATCCCTGGAAACAGTTGTCTTGGATGACTTTTGAAACTTAACATAAATACATAGTATAGTAATCACCTGTAGTTAAATTTTAAATGAGATAAAATGCGTTACTTTAGATCCATTCTTCAAGGCCGTTTTAAACTACCTACATATTTGTGCGTTTTCGATTTTACTTTTGTAGGTGCTGTTTTATTATATATGCTATGGAGCGATTTGCGCGTCATATGTTTTCTATTACTCATTTACTGAATATTTTAATTATAAGTATTTCTTGCACATAATACATATGGAAAGCGCAATGTTGATGCCACGAACGTTTCTAAAAAATCTTATCTTAGTTATGAGATCGTCAAGTTAATTAGCACATAAATAAATTTTACTATTATATAGATTATACACGGACATAAGGACTAAGAAAGTACCAATGATCATCTCCTCAAAAACTAATAAATTACCACCTTCCAACTTAATTTTTTTGCTATATCCTATTTCCGCAGTAACTTCTTATGACTAGTTTTGATTAAAATACATTAATTATTTCTACTAGATCGGGTACATATGGCGGATATTTTCGTTATCTTAAAAATACTTTACCTAAAACCGATAAAGGCACGATATTGTAGAAAACTATTATAAAAGACTTACGGATTTTTTTTATAAATAATGTCTCGTATAAAATTACCAAAAAGTTATCAACTTTTAAAATAAATTATAAATATGCCAACAAATCGAAATTAATTTTAGGCAATCATGTATAATAGATGTATGTAGTATTACAATAGGGCCTTTGCACGTGGAAGAAAATACCCTATTACTGAAGACTAGTTTTAAGTTGAAGTTTTGAGAAGTGAAAAATCTGCAGATAAAACAAACAGTTAAATCATGCAAAAGACAACGATAAAATTTTGATGCCTGGGAGTTGAAAATCGTTTTACGAAAAGATCTTTCCTTAAAATGTTTAGTACTTATTTTACTTAATTTACTTATCAATTATTTAAAATACGTAATCTATGGAAAACTCTGGGACCACCACTGAACAAGTTTTAACATGGAACAAATTACAACATTTAACCCTGCTGTTTTTTCGTTATAAATGGTCCTTTAGCAATTCCATTTCCAATTTGATTTGTTGCGTATATTTGTCAATGGAACACCTAAACGGCGCTAAAAAAATAATCTTGGAATATTAAATCTTGGAAATTTGTATACACTGATAAAAGATATTTTTCAAAGCATTGGCCCGTGTGTTCCATTGATTTATACTTTAAAATCTATTATTTCGAGTTTATTTATTAGTCAAATATACAAGATATATTTTAAAAGGAACGTGGCTTAAGTGAAGATCAATCGTTGATCGGCCCGAAAAATTCAATTCTTTTAACTATTTTTTTGCTTAGTACTATAAAGAAACGAATAATTAAAGTAGAATTTCACAGTACACTGGGTGATTCAAGTGCAGATCTCGCGGTCGCTAATTTCAGGCTAAACCCAGCTGATAAGTATTTTAAAAATGTTAACCGTTGATCATCGTATGGTCTAGCTGTAAGGATTAGTTTTGTCTTGCATCTTAAATTAATTTTGTAAAAACTTTCCGCTGTGTCGTTGAGATATTGAGGTATTTTCTGGGAAGCCACATTTCTAGCGTAAAAACGAAATAAAATTTAATGTGATTAGTTGAGCTCTGCGTGCAAAAAAACGTGTTATTCACCGAAAAATATGAGTACAAAATGATATTCATTAAAATTATACGCAAAATAAAGTTGCAATATGATATTTCGGGCCATCTTGTACATGTATTCGATTCTATAAATAAAAAACTACCCTTATTACTTATGTGCCTACACTAAGCATCATACTAAAGCCATCCGGTGTTATGATTATGGCCACTTAAAGGAATCACTCCAGGAAGTTTCGGTAAAATGTGTTGAGTCTGCTTACACTCTTCGTCTGGGGTTTGAGTGGATCCTGTTGGTGGATTGCTGGATGAGGAAGTATACAGGAGTGGTTCGCGAGAAGAACCATTCGCCCCAGGTAAACCAGTAGGTATGGTTGCCGTGAAACTTTCTTCTGGAACAAAGGATTATGTCTTAAGAAGAAGTAGAGAATCTTATTATGTGACATAATTAATATAAAAACATAATATAATACATACAAATTGTTAATGGTGCATTTTACTTGCAGTCCCTTATTGGATCACTTGCTGTACCTACATGATCTACTCAAATTGGCAAATGTGGCTTATTCCAGTTCTTTCACTATTAAAAATATTCTATCGGGGTTTTCCACGACCGGTACGTGGCCTGTTGATAGAAATGCATTCACCGATGATTGATTTTTCAATTTTATCAATCAGAATCTCTCAAGTTCTTACAGAAACGCCTGAGAAGAATCGCATAGAAGAAGGAGCTGAGAGAAGGCTGCCAAAATAGAAAAGTCATTTTCAAGTGGAATATGAAAAACCCAATAAAAAATTGAAAAATTGAAACTGACGATGAAAAGTTTACACAATTAGTCAATGAAAACGACTATGTTTTAGTCAAGTTGCACAGAAAATTGATCAAAAAGAATACACAGTCAAATATTATAACGAAAAATATTAAAAAAAACGAAGATTCGTATAAGTTGCAGTCAATAATTTGCTGATGCTGACTTTACAAAGTATGTCATCAATCAGATCATGTTAAGGATCATGTATTCAATGAACAGCTATAACTAAAAAATAAAGTTCAATTCAAAATGAAATTGTTTCAGTTAAAATCCCATGGGCATTTCAGGCCCATACGTGTTGAGAGCTGCCCCCCTTGAATAAAGTTTATGTTTTCATATTTTTGAAATAACTAATAAAAACAAAAAAAAACTTCACCTTAAGTTAATAAGGTAGTTAAAGTATCGAATTTTTAACCGTTTTTTTGTTCTAATGGTTCGTAACATTTCGTTGCTTCATTTGTTTACAATAAGAAACCATTAAAGACCAAATTTTTGGAAATACACTATTTTCATTCGAATATGGTTAAAAGTGCCGCTATTGCTCCTACTCAGATAATCGCTTTAAAAGATCTTCCTTATTAGAGCAAGAAATGCTTAAAAGTAAGTGGCAAATGGCCTTATCAAAACAATTCATGTATGCGTCTCAAATGCCTTCGGTTATATCGTTTATTATTAATTATTTTAACTGTAAATAATTTCATTACAATGTGTACAAGATGCGAGAGTATCATACATACACTTTTCCTGCTAACAGGTTTAACTGCCAGCCCACACGCATTGTAGGGGAGTGGGCCACCATAAGACTAAAAAAGTTAAAGTGGCTTTTTTTCCAAACACTTTACTTGATCGTCCAGAAAAGTTGATTAGCTGGTCGGAATTGCATTTATTTATGTACGCAACGGTGGAAAGCACATAATTACTTTGAATTTATAGATTTTTTATTGTTTAATTTTTTTGTAAGTCTTTGAAGTAAATCAATAAAAAAACGATAACTTCAAAATTGTCACATATTGCTATTCTAATCTTGTATATTAAATTAATTAGCTTCAAACTGGGCTTAAACAAAATTAAAACAAAAGAAATTACAAATTTTCTAATTTTACTCTTTGAAAAACACTTAACGAATATTAAAAATGCTAAAATTTAGCTCAAATTTATAATAGGAATGCAATACTTTTATTTTACCTAAAGCACAAGGCAAAATAATTTTTATGTCTTTTAAGACAACAGTCCCAATATCAGGTTGATCAGTGATTACAAAATGCCCTCTGAATTTCCCCGACTTCCTTAAAAAACTAACTTTAACTTCTTCGGATGTGTCGCCAAGTAATAATTTTTCCTACGAAGAAAACCTTCCTATTCTAAATTATTAAACTCAACTAACACAAAATCATCTTATTTGGGTGGTCTATCTAATTCCTCGAACGCAGTTGGATCGGGTTCAGGTATCCAATCAGAATCGTAGTGTGAATTCGCAAATGGAATCTTCTCCGTCGTCATTGGAAGACATCTTCTTTGTTAATTTTTTAAAATCCTTTGAAAAAACGTTTCTCTTCGCTGCTTCTTTTTTGGAAACTTCTATCTTTCTCTTTCTTCTTTTTCTTTGCATTTTATTTCAATTTTCTCTTTTTCTGGAGTATCCGTAGGGATGATACTTGTTGCTTTTTATCTTTTACTATTAGAGAGTTTTCTTTTACAAGCTTTTGGGTAGCCTCACATATCTGTGAAGTGTTTGAAAAGAACACCATTGCGATCAGATGCTTTTCGCAATGACAGTTTTACTCCACTCACTCCCACTAAAACTTCTTGGACTGCTCCTTTCATATTTTCTTCTGATAATATACCCTTCTGGGACTTTATTTTGCGACCCCTGGGCATCTAAAGATACAAAATCGCCCAATTAATTATTAAAGCTTAAAAGTTTTTCCATAAGACAGTGTCTTATGGTAGCCGATTTACACGTTATAACATTTTTTCAAATTTTCGGTAAATTTGATTTAAAATCACAAAGTTTCTTTATACAAATAAAAAGCACTTACAACACTATAGCTACAACTTAAATTTCTTACCTTTAACTTTATGTTTTCACTAAAAAAATTAGCTCAGAATAATACACGTGAAAAAAAAAGTCTCCGCTCACATGCGTCTTTGTCGAAATCTTAGTCAAGACTGATTGAGTGATTGAGAGAAAAGTGAGACTGGTTTAGACCGGAATAAACTTTACCACCGAAGCAACACTTCATTGATTCACTTCACTCATTCACTCATAATAAATGTCTACACTTAGTGTAAAAGAAAATATTGCAAAGTCTCATGGTGGCCGGTGTCTCGTGGTGCCCCACTCTCCCCTACTTAGAATGCTGATTTTGCTTCAGCCTAAGTTTATAATTAT